GGGCGGGGCTGCGGGCGGGGCCCGAGGTTACCTGTCCAGGGGGCTGTTGAAGCGGTAGATCTCCTCCTCGCTGTAGTCCCTGAGGCCGCTCGGCGTGGGCCCGCCGCCCACCACCTTCAACACGTAGCTGCCGGCGACCGAAGCGCGCACGGACTGCCCCCGGGTCCGAGGCCCGCCCCCTGCGCCCGCCCTTCGCCGGCCACGCCTTTACCTGCCCTGAAAACTGCCCGAGTCTCCCGTCACCAAATCTTGAATTAAGAAGAAAGGGTAGAAAACTGCGGAGACGAGGGGGTGGAGACCGGGAGAAGAAATCCGCTAGGCCGGAGAGGCGGAGGGCAGAGGGGAGGGAGGGCCGAGGGCGAGAGCGGAGGGGAGCGGGCGGCGGGGAGGGGGGCGCGGGGGGCCGGACACACACCGTCGCGGAAGAGAAAGCAGGGCATCTCGACGTCCACGTGCACGCAGTCGAAGTAGTGTTTGTTCTGCAGGCGGTTGTACTCCAGCGTGTAGGTGATGTCGAAGGCCAGGCGCTTGCCCGGGGGGCAGCCGATAAGCACTGGCACCACCAGGTTGCCCTGATGGAAGGAGAAGCCTGGCACTGGGAGTGGCCAGGGCTTCTTCAGGCCCTGCCAGACCAGGGGTACAGGAGACAACCCCCCTCCAACACACAGCACTCCAAGCTGCCAGGCTTACCCTCACCATCGAGAGCAATACAGCATCGTTATCATTAAAACAGCATGCTTAATAGCTGCAAACACTTACGTAACTCTTACTGTGTACGAGGCACTGGGTGATGTTCTGAGAGCTTTGCATAACACATTCATTTAATCCTCAAAATAGCCCTACGTGACAGTCTATTAAGATCCCCATTTTAGGCCAGGCTCAGTGGCTCATGCGCTTTGGGAGGCAGGGGCAGGAAGATCACCTGAGGCCAGGAGTTCAAGAACAGCCCATACAACATAGCAAGACACCTATCTCTAAAAATAAATTTTAAAAATGCATTGCCTTTTTAGAGATGGCAAAAGTAGCCGGGCTCGGTGGCTCAGCCTGTAATCCCGCGCCTTTGGGAGGCTGAGGTGAGTAGATTGCCTGAGCCCGCGGGTTCGAGACCCGCCTGGGCAGTGAGACCTCATCTCTACAATAAATCAAAAAATCAGCCGGGCATGGTAGCACATGCCTGTAGTTCTGGCTACTTGGAAGGCTAAGGTGGAAGAATTGCCTGAGCCCAGCAGCTCAAGGCTGCAGGGGCCATGAGCATGCCACTGCACTCCAGCCTGGGCGACGGAGTGAGACTCCAACTCAAAAGAAAAAAAAAAAGAGAGATGGTAAAAGTGAGGCACAGACCGCACCTTGGGAGGCTGAGGTGAGTGGATTGCCTGAGATCCACGGGTTCGAGATCCTCATCTCTACAATAAATCAAAAAATCAGCCGGGCATGGTAGCACATGCCTGTAGTTCTGGCTACTTGGAAGGCTAAGGTGGAAGAATTGCCTGAGCCCAGCAGCTCAAGGCTGCAGGGGCCATGAGCATGCCACTGCACTCCAGCCTGGGCGACGGAGTGAGACTCCAACTCAAAAGAAAAAAAAAAAGAGAGATGGTAAAAGTGAGGCACAGACCGCACCTTGGGAGGCTGAGGTGAGTGGATTGCCTGAGATCCACGGGTTCGAGATCCTCATCTCTACAATAAATCAAAAAATCAGCCGGGCATGGTAGCACATGCCTGTAGTTCTGGCTACTTGGAAGGCTAAGGTGGAAGAATTGCCTGAGCCCAGCAGCTCAAGGCTGCAGGGGCCATGAGCATGCCACTGCACTCCAGCCTGGGCGACGGAGTGAGACTCCAACTCAAAAGAAAAAAAAAAAGAGAGATGGTAAAAGTGAGGCACAGACCGCACCTTGGGAGGCTGAGGTGAGTGGATTGCCTGAGATCCACGGGTTCGAGATCCTCATCTCTACAATAAATCAAAAAATCAGCCGGGCATGGTAGCACATGCCTGTAGTTCTGGCTACTTGGAAGGCTAAGGTGGAAGAATTGCCTGAGCCCAGCAGCTCAAGGCTGCAGGGGCCATGAGCATGCCACTGCACTCCAGCCTGGGCGACGGAGTGAGACTCCAACTCAAAAGAAAAAAAAAAAGAGAGATGGTAAAAGTGAGGCACAGACCGCACCTTGGGAGGCTGAGGTGAGTGGATTGCCTGAGATCCACGGGTTCGAGATCCTCATCTCTACAATAAATCAAAAAATCAGCCGGGCATGGTAGCACATGCCTGTAGTTCTGGCTACTTGGAAGGCTAAGGTGGAAGAATTGCCTGAGCCCAGCAGCTCAAGGCTGCAGGGGCCATGAGCATGCCACTGCACTCCAGCCTGGGCGACGGAGTGAGACTCCAACTCAAAAGAAAAAAAAAAAGAGAGATGGTAAAAGTGAGGCACAGACCGCACCTTGGGAGGCTGAGGTGAGTGGATTGCCTGAGATCCACGGGTTCGAGATCCTCATCTCTACAATAAATCAAAAAATCAGCCGGGCATGGTAGCACATGCCTGTAGTTCTGGCTACTTGGAAGGCTAAGGTGGAAGAATTGCCTGAGCCCAGCAGCTCAAGGCTGCAGGGGCCATGAGCATGCCACTGCACTCCAGCCTGGGCAACAGAGTAAGAGTCCGACTCAAAAAACAAACATTTAAAAAATTTAAAAAGTAAAAGAAAACCACTGACAGCTGCACCTCTGGAGCACCAAGTCCTAGTCAGACTTTACAGGTCTGAGTTGGGCTTGAATTCTCAAGTACTAGACCCACAGGAGCATGGGCTAAAAGAGGGAAGTGGGACTCAAGATTTGGAGCCAGGGTCTTCAGAATCAAGAGTCACTGGACCCATTTCAGGGGGTAGGGATGAGGGTTTCACCTGATTGTCAAAGATATATGGGCATCTAGAGGCTTGGTGGCTGGAGAGAGGCTTGGTGGCTGGAGAGAAGCTCGGTGGCCATAGATTAAGCACTTCCCATGCCAGGCCGGGGCCAAAGACTTCACACCTATCAGCCCCTCATGCACTAGGGGGTCTAATGGGTATCTCAGAGTCAGTCTTTCCAGAAGCATCTCAGTGGCACCTCACTCCTTCCAGCTGCAGGCTGAACACTTGACTCTCTTCTTCACTCACACTCTCATCCAGTCTGCCAGGATATCCTGTTTCCAGTCTTCGAGATGGTTCAGAACCCTCTCATTCCCCCCCCCCGAGCCTCCAGGTTCTGCGCCCCTGCCCTTGTCTTCTCCAACCTTGACCCCTCCCTGGTCTCCCTGCTCCCTGGTCTTTCCCCCCATGCAGCCGATGGACCCTGTGAACACCTGGGCTTGTCAGAGCCCTCCAGGTAGCCAGCTTGCTCACGGTGGCTCACAAGGTCCCACTCGCTGTGTCTCCATCGCTGTGTCCCCGTCACTGCTCTGACCTCACCCTTCCACTTTCCTTCCTGTTCACCCTGATCTAGTCACACTGACTCCATGTTGTTCCTTTGGTCTAACACATTAAGTCTCACACGGCCCAAGGAATTAGGGGCTGTCACAACATCTTTTTTTGCTGCTCAGGGTCATCCCCAGTCAGGGGGCGGGGGGCACCAAGGTCTTTCTGCTGGGGATTGGGCAGGGCTGTGGTGAGAACAAGGACTCTGGGGTCCCTCGTCTACCACTTATTAGTTCCTGAGCTACACTGAGTGGGCGTTTGCACTTCTCTGAGCCTCAGTGTCCGCCTCTGAGCAGAGGGGATATTACATGTGTACGCAAGTGAAAACGAAGAGCCAAATAAGTGAAAAAGAACACATAAGTGGGCAAATGAAGAGCTATGTGTGAAAGAGGGCCATGCGGGCTCTCACACTGCCCTCGTGCCAACTGGAAAGAGAGGCCTGTCTCTCAGACGCTTTGCTTTGCCCTGCAGAAAACTGTCAAAAGGAACAACAAGCTCATGCGCAAACCACACGACTGTGAAGGCGGCCCTTTCTGAAAACCCGAAGGAATGAGAGGAGTGACCGGGTGGGGGGTGAATGATGAGAATTCAAGAGAAGAAAGGAAATCACAGGCACATGAGCAGGATTCCAGGGGGCACACTGTGGAGCCCTGGCCCCACCCCTCCACCAGGCCCAGCACCCCAAGCTCCAATACTTGCAAACGGGGTCCCTGGTGTGTGTTCTGGAAGCAGTATCCCGAAGAACCCACCACCTGTGGGGAGGGGACAGGCGACGATGGTGGCCCCCGCAGCCGGCCTTCCCCACCCCCGGGAGTCCCTCCCTCCCCTCCAGGCTGGGAGCGCACGTTGACCATGACGGACGTCTTCCTGAGGTGATGTCCACTGATGCCTTGGTCATAGCAAAACTCTCTGTCCTTGAGTGTGATCTGGGGTGGGGGAGGGGGAGGGGGAGGCGGAAGCGAAGGGGTGAGCAGGTTTGCCGGAGCGACGGGACGGTTCAGATAACCCCCGGCGGGCGGCCG